TGTTTACGAGTCTTTCTCTGGTCAGGCGGTGAACTTCCATAAGTCCAATGTCTCGTTTAGCCGCAATACTAACGCAGAGATACGGGATCTTGTTGCCGGGGCTCTAGCAGTTGCACAAACGGAGGATTTTGGGAAGTATTTGGGATTGCCATCTGTTGTTGGCAGGAATATATAGGAGGGCGGTTTTTGCTTATGTTGAGCAGAAGCTGAGGTAGAGGTTTGGATCGTGGAATAAGAGGTTGCTGTCTAAAGCAGGAAAGGAGGTCCTTCTGAAGAGTGTGGCACAAGCCATGCCAACTTATACTATGAGTATTTACCTACTCCCGTCTTCTTTATGTATTTCTTTAGAAAGACTAATGAACAGATACTGGTGGGGGCGAAGTGGTGATGAAGGAAGCATTCACTGGTTAGCTTGGGATAAGATGTGTAAACCAAAGAAGTTTGGAGGAATGGGATTCAGGCGATTACATGATTTTAATCTGGCCCTACTGGGCAAGCAGGGATGGCGGCTTTTAACTAACCCCAGCTCTTTGATGGCACGTGTTTTCAAGGCAAGGTATTTCTCGACAACATCTTTTTATGAGGCTGTTATGGGGGGTAACCCGAGTTATGTGTGGAGGAGCATTATGGCCAGTCAGGATTTGCTAAAATCCGGATGCAGGCGCAGAATTGGTAATGGTAGATCTACTCAAGTCTGGACAATTCCCTGGCTTCCAGATGCCCAAAATCCATATGTTGAATCCGAACAGGCGATTAATGGTTAGTCTTTATTAGTCTCGGATTTGATTGATGCCCATACAGGTAGTTGGAATGGTGGCCTCTTATCTCAGTTGTTTAATCCACGAGATGAAATGCTTATATCTCAGCTACCTGTAAGTTTGGACTATGATGATATGTGGTACTGGGAAGGGGATTTAAGGGGATGCTACTCGGTTAAAAACGGCTATCGTAGGTTGAGCTTTATAAATTCACAAGTTTCTCCTGTGTGGAATAATATTTGGAAATTACAGGCTCCCTCTAAGTGGAGGGTGTTTTTGTGGCGAGCCCTCTTGAATATTTTACCCTCGCTAGATAACTTGATAAAAAGGAGGGTGGACATATTAAATATTTGTCCGTCATGTGGTTTAGATGAGGAGTGTCTTTTGCATATTTTTTGCTCATGCCCCTTTGCTGTCAGTGTTTGGCAGATGTCTCAAATTCAAATCCCCTCTTTTGCCAACAGGGGTTTCTTGCAATGGACGGAAGATTGGCTTGGCGGTTGAACTGGTTTTAGTACTGATGTACAAGGCAGAATTTGTGGAATTCTCCATGTTATTTGGACCGCAAGGAACTCGGCGGTGTGGGATGGTTGTTTGCCGACGCCATGCACTCTTCTTCGACGCCTCTCGGCTGCGTGGAACACTTGGACTGATTGTGAGCAACGTCGACAGCAAGCTTGTAGCCAAAACACTGCCCAGCAACCAGCGCCTCCTGTTCAAACACCCCAGGCAGCCACGGCTTTTCACTGTTATGTGGACGCCGGTTTTCACGGATCACATCATGCGGCAGCGTTTGGTTTTGTAGTGTTGGATGGTGGCTCCTCCTTCGTGGCGGCGACTAATGGCCCGATGGTGTGTCAGTATGATCCTCCCTTGGCGGAAGCAATGGCATTGTGCGAAGCCCTCTCTTGGTTGAAAGACAATGGGTACGCAGGTGGAAAACTTTACACGGACTCATCAGTTTTGGTCTCGGGTTTAAAGTGTGCTAGTTCATTTCGCAATTATTTTGATTTTATTTTGTTATCTTGCAATCGTTTAATTAATGCTATGCCTGGAACACTAGTTTGTTATGTTAGTAGGGATACCAATGATGTGGCTCATTCCTTGTCTAAACATGTATCTGCAGTAGCAGGACGCTCAGTATGGAGGGATTTTCCTCTTGCCTTTATTCAGCCCTTGGGGGCTAATGCAATCTGAATCTTTTGGCTTTCAAAATATATATATATATATATATATATATATATATATATATATATATATATATATAGTGATACACTCAGGTGCGAATAAGTGCGCAGGAGGGAATATGCGAACGAATCAGCGCGCGACACGTGTCCAGATCTAATAGATTTAAAAAAACGGGGTGGTATTTTCATAAATAATTGAACATTGAAGTACAAGTAAAATCACTTACAAGTGCACCTACTTTGACCTATAAGTGCATGTAATTTTGCCTTGTTAACATTCACTTCCCGCAACCATTCATTCACCTAGGTGCACCTACTTATAACTATAGGTGCAACTACTTATAACTATAGGTGCACCTGCTTTCACATATCAGTGCATGTAATTTTGTCTTGTTAACATGTATTCACTTCCTGCACTCATTCATTCACGTAGGTGCACCTACTTATAACTATATGTCCAACTACTTATAACTATAGGTGCACCTACTTTCACCTATAAGTGCATGTAATTTTGTCTTGTTAACATTCACTTCCCGCAACCATTCATTCACTTGGGTGCGCCTACTTATAACTATAGGTGCAATTACTTATGCCTATAGGTGCAACTACTTATAACTATAGATGCAACTACTTATAACTATATGTGCACTTCGTATTGATGCTCAGTGTAATTTTACTTTACATTTTACTTGCACTTCGATGTTCAATTATTTACGAAAATGCCACCGCATTTTTTTAATTCATTAGATCTGGACACGTGTCGCGCGCTGATTGGTTCGCATATTCCTTCCTAGGAGCTTCATTCGCACCTGAGTGCAATTCTATATATATATATATATATATATATATATATATATATATATATATATATATATATATACACAGAATAGCATGCATGTTGAGGGAGCAATTTTGGGATTTGAAAAAGAAAGGAAAATTAGTGTTGCCATTGAAATATTTGAGGATGTTGATAGCTAAAATCCTTAGTGTCGCCATTAACGCCGTTCTTCTCATCAAGCTAGGAAGGGAGGGTCGCTTGGTAAAAATTGTTCTTGTGAACAGTAGCAAAATCTAGTTGTTTGTAAAAACAATAATTTTTTTGCTATTTTTTCAATTTTTTTTTTGCTATGATATACTCCCTCTGTCCCATTTTGCATGTCTTACTTTCATTTTTAGTTTGTCCCAAAATGTTGTCCTCTTTTCAAAATTGAACATCACCATCATTCTACTTTTTCCCAAATTACCCTTATGACTTTTGCTTTTATTTCCAAAAGTGAAAAAGTGAAGGGCATAATTGGAAAATACATAACATTTACTTTAATTCCTTAAAAAGCGTGCAAAAAGCAAATGAGACAACCAATTCGGGACGGATGGAGTATATTTTTTTGAATACTGATATTTTTCTTTTATAGATGTGTGGAAAATGGAAATAAAATGATAAAAATCAAAAGCATATGAGTATTTTATAAAAGTTTTTAAATGTACCATAGAGGAATAGATGAAAAGTTTGTCTCTTTTTAGAAAAAGAGAAAAAGTAAAAAATTGAAAAGTTTGGATTGGAGAGCTGGATTTCATTTATTTATATTTGTGAAAAAAAAAAGTCTATAAAAATCCTATTTTGATATAGTCTATAAAAAAATGGGAATAAGGGTCAAATAGGCCATTGAACTGCACACAATAATGCAATTAGGCCATCAAACTTAAAAAAATCTACAATTAGATCCCTAAACTAACCATTTTCTTGCAATTTGTCTATTTTGTAAGTTTTCTAGGTTGCTAGCAGGTCACTTTTAATTTAAAATATTTTTTAAAATATTTATTATTTAAATTTAAAAAGAAAGAAAGAAAGATACAGATCGTCTCCGGCCATGGATTCGTCTCCATGGTCGGAGATGTCTTCGTCTCCGGCCATGGAGACGAAATAACTTCTTCGTCTCCGGCCACGGAGATGAATCCATGGTCGGAGACGGTCTGTTTTTCTTTATTATTATTATTATTATTTTATTTTTATTTTAAATAATTATTTTAAATAATAAATATTTTAAAAACTATTCTAAATAAAAGGTGACCTACTAACAAACCTAGAAAACTTACAAATTAGACAAATTATAAGAAAATGGTTAGTTTAGGGATCTAGTTGTAGCTTTTTTAGGTTTAGTGGTCTAATTGCATTATTGTGTGCAGTTCTATGTCTTTTTATTAAACTGTTAGCACTAAAAACCACTAATCTTTTGGTGAAAATGGTGGTTCACCTATGTTTTCTCTTTTGTATTAACCCAATAGTCGCTTGAAATGTTAGAAACTGTAATAAGATTTAGAAAAATTACATCAACACCAACATGCACAACCATAAACAATATGTTCCGGGATAACCAGGCTGCTACGTCTACGTACAACTAAAAAGTACTCAGAAAATCATAATAGATCTATACATCAACAACCAACATGGTATATACCACGAAATTTTTGTAATTTTGTCACTCTTATTTTTCTATATTGTATGTTAAAGTAATTTCTTTATTGTTTCTATTTTCCATTTTATATTTCCGTTCCAACTTTTTATATATTACATCTCTTAAATTTTTCACACAATTACACAATAAGATGAACAATATTCATTACATGCATCGCATGTGTATCATACTAGTTCCAAAAAAATAATAAGTGTTTGAATACCTAGAGACTTTTAAAGACTACTCTTTAAGTCTGAATGGGATAGCAATAATTTTTTAAAATGTTTTAAAAGTCTAAATTAAATACCACTAAACTTTTAAAATTGTTAAAAATCTTTAAAAAGTCTTTGTGACGAGTCAATTAAAACGCGTTGTGAGCCAAATAGTTGCTTCCAGGAAAATATTGCAACCTTATTGGTGTTGACTAATTAATGTCGTAGCATGTGCATACTGTATATATACAATTCTCATTCAAGCTAAAACTTAACCAATTAAACATATATTTTCCCTTTAATTTTGAAACTATTAAAAGTTTTCTCATCATGGGGACATCTTTACCTCAAATCAATCACTTCCTGGTTACCTTCCTCACCTTTGTAGTTATGGGGTTGTGCATTTGTTGTAGCGGAAGCAACAATACTAGGATTTGCAAGGAAGAGGAGAAACAGGCGCTATTGTGCTTCAAGGAGGAGTCAAAAATTCTAAGGAATTGGGTTGATAGAGCTGATTGTTGCACTGAATGGGAAGGAGTTGTGTGTGATAATGTAACCGGCCATGTCATTGAACTCCATCTATCAACTTTTGAGGATAATCTTCCAAGAGGTAAACTTAGTTCTTGCTTGCTTGAAGTGAAACAATTACGTTACCTCGATCTTAGTGGTCTCAATTTCAGTGAGTCTCACATCCCCAATTTCATTGGATCTTTTGTAAATTTGCAATATATTGATCTATCTTCTACAAGCTTTGAAGGAATAATCCCCCATCAACTTGGAAACCTTTCACAATTGCATACTTTACATTTGAGAGATGAGGCTCTCAAAGCTGACAGCCTTGATTGGTTATCCAGTCTCTCAAATTTAAAAGTATTGGACTTGACTTTTGCTAATCTTAGCATGGTACATAATTGGGCAGAGGTGATTAATATGCTTCCTTCCTTGCGTGAGCTTTATTTAACTGATTGTGATATTTCAAAATTATCACATCCACTTGGCCATAACAAATCTTCACTTCAAGTCCTTGATCTTGCAAATAATGAATTCAACACTGTCATTTTTAGATGGATATTCAACTTTGATAGTCTTATTTCACTTCAATTATATGATTGTGGTTTTCTAAGTCCATTTCCTGATGATCCTTGGAATTTGACATCTCTTAGAGATCTTGACATCTCTGCAAATCAATTCCATGGCCATCTTCCCAATAGTCTTTGGAATTTGACATTCCTTAGCATTCTTTACATCTCCGAAAATCAATTCCATGGCCATCTTCCAAATAGTCTTTGGAACTTGACTTCTTTGTCAGACCTTGATCTCTCTAAAAATATGTTCACGGGGGAGATACCAAAGCCAATTGGAAAACTCAACAAGCTGCAAAGAGTTAATCTTTATAACAACAAGTTAGATGGACCACTTCCAGAGAATTTAGGATATTCATTTCCAATGTTAGAAACTCTTCACATTATGGATAACATGTTTGAAGGCATAGTGACGGAAAATCACTTTGTTAATCTCACCATGTTGGGGTATTTACAAGCATCTGGAAATAGATTAACGTTGAATGTTAGCCTAAATTGGATACCTCCGTTCCAACTTCTTGTGCTTTATCTAAGTGGTTGGAAGTTGGGTCCTCAATTTCCTACTTGGTTACAATATCAACATAGTATTGTCGAGTTGGACATATCTAATGCTGGAATTCAGAGTGAAGTTCCAAGTTGGTTTTGGAGATCTTTTGAATTTCGTTTCCTTAATCTTTCACACAACCAGTTGCGAGGTAAAATTCACAGTATCTCAGTATTCAAGCCATTTGGAGAAATGCCTTCATCTGCACTTGTGTACTTGAGCTCTAACCAATTTAATGGTCCCTTACCTCGTATCTCTAGCCATACAACGGAGTTAGACTTGTCAAATAATTTCTTTTCAGAAGATGTCTCTAACTTCTTATGTCAAGCTCAAAGTGTGCCATATAAGCTTAAAATACTTCATTTGGGAGGAAACAGATTATTTGGAGAAATTCCCAATTGTTGGATGCACTGGCCACAGTTAAAAGTCATAAATATGGGCAATAACCAACTGATTGGAAGCATCCCAAATTCCATTGGGCTTTTGGATAAGTTGAAATCTTTGGATATGCACAAGAACATGCTTTTTGGCCCTATACCTCCATTATTGCAAAATTGCACCCTTTTGTTGAAAATTGATTTGGGTGAAAATGGATTCACAGGAAAGATTCCAAGATGGCTGGGGACTAAACTTTTAGATTTGACAATTTTTAGACTCCGATCAAATAAGTTTTACGGTGAATTGCCTCTAGAATTTTGCCATCTTAAATCACTTCGCATTTTGGATCTTTCCAATAACAACCTCTCTGGTGTGATTCCTTGGTGTCTTAAAAATCTCACTGCAATGATCAATGAAGAGGCAATTCAAGATGGAGAATTTGAAATGGGTTATTCATTTTATGCATGGGGATTTGGTGAAAGTGCTATAGTGACGACCAAAGGGCTAGAGTATGAGTATTACACAATCATTTTATTGTTGTTTGCTGGCATGGATCTTTCAAGTAACAATTTTTCTGGGGACATTCCAATTGAACTGGCCAATCTTGTGATATTGAGATCCTTAAACTTATCAAGAAATAACTTGACGGGAAATATCCCCATGGAGATGGGAAACATGAGATTCTTAGAATCTCTTGATCTTTCAAGAAATCAACTTTCAGGAAAAATTCCCTCCAGCTTCTCGAGTCTGTCCACTCTAGAAGTTTTGGACTTGTCATATAACAACTTATCTGGGAAGATACCTTCAGGTACTCAACTTCAAGGTTTTAATGCTTCATGCTACGTTGGTAACAACCTCTGTGGCCCTCCGCTCTTACAAAGTTGCAGTGTTGATGATGGCAAAATTCCAAAAAATGAAAATGGAGGAGATGATAGTTCTGAAGTAGTGGATTGGTTTTATGTTAGCATGGCTATAGGATTTGCAGTGGGCTTTTGGGCGGTCTGTGGTTCTTTGTTTCTTGTGAGATCTTGGAGGATTGTTTATTTTCAATTTTTAGATGACAAGTTGAAGTCTTTTTTAGTGTGGGCACATGCTCTGAGGGTATAATGTTTCTGGTGTTCTCTACTATTAGGAATCTATGCATATTGAGATTTATGATTTAGTGTATCTTCTAGCTAGTCCCTTGTAATTTATCATGTAACACTCATTGTCATAATTATGTAACATAGTGTAACTGTAAACCTATTGTTTATCTATGTTGTGTAAATCTTTTGTAGTACTACAATGAGTTTACATATTTTTCAGCCAATTACGCATTCATTTTAATTACTACTACAATAAGGTTTTACCAAGCATTAGGCCGCCTGACAATTATCGACACGAAACCAGACACAAAATTAACGCGTTAGTGACTGATTGATCCGTAAAGAACCCATTATGTTTCATGGCTTAACAACCTATTCAACATATTAAGAACCCGTTTAATCCGTTAATGTTATTGTGTTAACCTGTTTACACAAACTTGTTTATAACGCAAACTTGTTTATAACGCGCTAAAAAACATTGTTATTTGGATATTTTATCATTTTATGAATTGAATATTCTTTGAGTTTGTTTGATGGATTGAATGGTAGATTTTGTTTTATATATATATATATATATATATATATATATATAACTTAACTTCAAATTTTAGTTTTTAAAATTAATATATTAATATGGTTAATGAGGGACAACATTTACACCACTAACAATTCAGAAATAACATTAATAATTAACATATTTATGAGAAACATAAATTACAATTTTCCCGATCATAAAACATCACAATTATAAAATCATTTCAATAACTCGCAAATAAACATTACAAATCATTGAAGCTTGCACTCTTCTACTTTCTTCTTGTTCTCTTTCAGCTGCTTCCTCACCACTTCTCGTGGTCATCCAATTCTTCATTTATGTTCCTTCTTGTTGTCTGGAAACCAATTAATACGAAGCGTTCCAAATTCCATTGTGTTTTTGAATCATTTGCATTGGAATCTAATAACTGGGGGTATATTACTAACTGAAAATTAGATAATAGAAAACAGAAAACATATTTAGTAACACAGTTTTTCATTTTGAAAATATGAAACAATTTTTCAGTTTTTTAGAAAACTCGAAAACTATTAAAAAATGTTTTCTAAATGAAAAAACAGAATTATCTATCATCAATCATTTATTTGGCTATATGTCACTATAACCACATTCTCACCATTATCTACTTACATATTTATTCACCATTATTCTTCTACTTACATATTTATTCATTATTATGATTACTTCGTTATCATCTTCTGATCTTTTACTTATGGTCATCTTCTATTTTTTTACTTGCATTACTTATTTAAACAAAACGTATTTGCTTATGCTTAAAATTAGATATTATTTATATTATCAAAATTAAAAAATAACTCTATATCAAGTTTTATATTTTGATTGAACTCAATTGATTATTGATTCAGATATTTTTAGTTATGTTATATCGTAATACAAGTTTAGTTCAGATATTGGATATTGAAATTTCACATATATTACTATATTAGAATTCAAAGTAAAAATTATATATTTATATACATGTCATTCAAATGAATATATTCAACGATATTTTAAATATTAGCTCAAAAAATATTACGTGAACTTAATAGGTTATTGGTTCGGATATATTTTTAGTTAAGTTATCTAAACTAGGTTTTATGTGAACTTACATATATTAGACTTAAAATTTAAAATTATATTTATTCTATTTAAACTAAATATATTTTAAATATAATGTCTAAAAATCACCTGAAATTAAACTTGTGTTAATTTTATAGTGTTAATCTAAAAAATAAATTTGAAAAAAATAAGTGTTAGAAAAAAAAAAAAAAAACAGAGAATGAAAACTGAAAAATTAGAAAACAAAAAACAGTTTCCGTTAATAAACGAGCCCTATGTGTTTTTTGTTCCGATTCCAATTCAATTAGGTTTGCATAGTACTCAATTCAGTTTGAATTGGATAGTTTAAACCAAATCGTGATCATGCCTACCCACATCTTGCAACTATAGTTATATCATGGACAATGTGCATATACCAACATGAACCTAAGCCACCCCCAATTTCTCTCCTTAATTTATTTTTCAACTCGAATTTACTCTTTTTTTTATACAAATATAATTACTGTAAAAATATGCTAGTAAAAAGTTTTAATTAAAATATTTTAAATGATAGATATAGTAGTTTTTTATTTAATTTTTTAAATGAATCAATATGTTCATAAAATTATTAAGTTAGGTTTATAAAATTATTAAACTAAAATAGATTCAGTAATTATTTTAAATTCATATAGTTTTAATACAGTTTCATAAAGTCGCTATCATAAAGTTCATAAGGTTACCATTGCACATTCATAAAAAGTCACTACTATAACGGCATGTTTGGTTCACTAAAAGAATGTTGAGTGAATAGAAATTTCATTCTAGTCAAACATATTGTGCTCAATTGACACCTTTGTGGCTCTTTTTGAGGGAAGCCAACAGGATCAAATCTCCGGTGGTAGAATATTGACTCTTTGGACTACAATAGATAGAAAAAGTATATTGAACAAATACTATCTTGTAATAGAATTGATAAAATTCAAAAAAAAAAAAAGTCTCATTCTATTAAGAACGGAATATGCAAGCAATATAATAAGAATTTCAGTTCATTTTCTTGGTTCACAAAAAATATTTCAATACAACTGTAGTTTAACATTCAATACTAATATTATACATTTATTGTTGTGACTCACGCATAGAAAAGACTAGTATCAATATATGTGTTTTTTAAAAAATGTCAACTAAATATTTTTAACAATATATATTTTTGGAAAAAAAGATCAAATAGACCCTTTAACTTTTGATGAAAAAGCAATTAGGCCCTCAAACATTAAAAATGTTCAATTACACACTTGAACTCTTTAAAATTGTGCAATTAAACCTAATTTACCGGTAACCGGTAAAAAAAAATGTAATTTTATTTTAGATTTGTTTTTGGCCGGCCGACCAACAACATCGCAGCCTCCTTCCAGATTGGAAGGAGGTTGGACGTTACTGCCTCCAGCCTCCTTCCGATCTGGAAGGAGGCAGATGCTACCTCCTTCCAGAACGGAAGGAGGCGGCAGTTGCCTCGTTCCAGACTGGAAAGAGGTGGCGTTTGCCTCCTTCTAGAACGAAAGGAGGCAGAACGTCGCCTTCCTCAAAAGTTGCTACTGCGATTGGAAGGCTACGGTGGCTGGCAGAAGGGACGATAATTTTCGGTCTACGGCGGCAGCTAACGATGGTGGCGATGATGGTTGGTATGGTGGTAGTAATATAGTTTATCGGTTAAAACTGGATGATTACATATTAAAAGGTTATACTGCACTAATTTGAAAAGTTAAAGGGTTCAATTGAAGCTTTTTATATATTGAGTGGCTAATTGCATTATTGAATATACTTTAGCTTATTTGACCTTTATCTCTATATTTATTTAGAGTTTTTTTTTGAAACTATATTTATTTAGAGTTAGTTCTATTTTTTGTCATAGATTTATAGGTGGCAAGTCATTTATTATCTTTTTTTTGTTTGTTTGTTTTATTTTTCATAACATTCCCTTTTGATCCTAGTATTATTGTTGTAGGACCATTTTTCGTCCTCTATCAACAAAATTTTTCAAATGTCGTTAAAATAATGACATTTTGGTTTTTAATTAGGGATTTTTTTAAAAAAAAAATAGAAATAAAAATATAGCGGGTTAACCCACTTTGTATTTTTAAAAATCTAAATGTCTTTATATTTAAAGGCATTTCAATGATTTTTGTTAACGAAGGACCAAAAATAGTTATACTAAAATAATGCTAGGACCAAAAGATAATGTTCTGAAAAAAGTCTAAAAGTGAACTACAACTTATAAACCTAGAACTAAAAAAAATTCTTTGTTGGGCCGGGATGTGGGGGGCCCTTGGGGTTGGGGATTCAACCTTTTGGGAGAAGAACTAAAAAAAAATTGAATTAACTCACAATCTACTATCTACTATACTAATAAGAGCCCAAGAGAGTTAGTCCTATAATTGGTAGAAAACATGGCGATCAAAATTTTTAATCAAATGAATGGCTCAGATCGATCAGATTTTAATTTTTCCTTAAGATTTTCTAATTTATCCTTAATGAATATGATTATCCGTTAATTTTTCCGTTATATATTATGTTTTTCGTTAATTTCTGTTAGTTCACTGTTAACTTACTAATTGATTTCAATAAGAAAGGTCTTAGGTTCGAACTCCATCCCAATCAAAGTTGGCATAATTAGTACTCTATTTTACTCTTATAAAATTAAATAATAATTTAGTAGCTACAAAAAAAAAATACATATGCATTTCTTTACTTTAGAATTATGTGTCTACAATGTCTTTATTCAAAAAAATTTATTCATTATCAATAAATTAAATAAGAGAAATAATTTCATTAGTTATATTGTATTTAATTTATTTTTCTCCAATATAAAAATTCTTTACATGCAAATTCATCAATTGATTATATTTGTTACATTATCCCTACAATGTCTTTATTAAAAAAAATTATTCATTATCAATAAATTAATTAAGAGAAATAATTTTATTAGTTATATTGTCTTTACATTCAAATTCATCAATTGATTATATTCACTACATTGTCTATTATCTTTTTTGTGCACTATTTTTTTAATTAAATATCAAAATTATAATACAAAATAATGCTATATATTTATTTACCAAGTATTTTATTAATACCATGGAAAAATTAAAAAAATATAATTAATAAAGTCAATCATATTAACTACTTGAGAGATTTGTTTACAAAGAGGGTATTCCAATCACACAACAAATTGAAGTGAGAACTACATCGCAATGTCCTTGTTTGACAACCAGTAGTTAGCGGTTAGCGTTAGCGGATTATATTAGCGAATTTGACCAGCGAATTATATCAACGGTGGGTAAAACGATATTTGAAAAAATTAGCTGTTTAGATTAACATGTAAAATGACCTAAGGGTATACATAATAATAATAATAATAATAATAATAATAATAA